GTTCAGTGGTACAGTGCAATCACAAGGTCCTGAGTTTGATTCCTGATGCAAAAAAAAAAAAAAAAAAAAAAAAATTTGCAAGCGCAGGGGGATGTGGTTCAGTGTGAAGGCCTAAGCTCCACCCCCAGTAGAGGGGCCCTAAAAGCGCTAGGGCCTCAGAGGAAAGGCTTGAGAGCTGGGGGTTTCTAGAGCCCAAGAACTCCCCCACCCAGTTTCCCAGGGGGAGGTCGGGGCAGTCCGGGCAGCTTGCGGTTGCACACTAGTGAGCTGTTCGGGTCCTGGTGTTGCCTCAGGGTCCTGCCTGCATCACCAGTGAGCAAGCATGTTACTCACAGTCGGCAGATAACCAACCCCACAGGCGGTGAGAGCCCTAACCACTTCCTGAAGGGTTGGCCTGAAACCACCTGCCTGAGTTCAAGTCCAGGCTCTGCCACTTCCCAGCTGTCTGACCACAGAGAAGCCACTCACCTCTCTGGGCCTCAGTTTCCACACCTGCAGAAGGGGAACAATTTCAGTCCTGCCCATAGAACTGACAGGGAAGGGGTGAGGGCAAGAAGAAGTTCCTAGCCACAATACCAAGCCTGTGGTCCCTGGGTTATGGAGACACAGCAGAGCAAGGAACAGGCTCTTCCGAGAGGAACAAAAGCAGACAGCAACCAGAACTCGCCTGCGCATTTCCCACCAGATGGCTGGGGAGAGGAATCAGACTTCAGCTGAAGCACAGAGCACTGGATGCCACGGCCCATTTCCCAGTCCCACAAGCAGCAGGAAAGCGTCTCTAGCTCCATCTGGCATCCCTAACCAGCATCCCCAGTCCCCTCGTCCTGTCCGGTCTCTGCAGAAGGTGTGGAGTCTGAGCTGAGCGCCACAGGGGCCCCAGGAAGGAAGTGCTCTCTGGCCAACGCAGAAGGCCAGGCGCATCTGCTGGACGCCCGCAGGCAGGATGCTCTTTCTTCCTCGGTCACCTTCTCCCACTGGGGGACAAACAATGGCCTCAGAGGCAGAGCACAGTGCCTGCTACCGGGGGAGGGGCGAAGGGCACGGCGGAGGAGGGCCGCAAAGCAGCTTCAGCCAGCAAAATACTGCTGAGTCTCTCGGCTGCAGAAGCCGAAACTCAGAGACCGCATCGTATGGGGCCGCTTGCAAAAGCATTTGCAGCAAAGGTGGAGGAGTTGAGTGCCGGACCTCCTGCTGCTGAGCCACAGGCCCACACACCAATCCCTACCTGACTCTCACACCGCCCCTCCAGCCTCTCCAAGGAGACACTGCCTATTGCTTTGCACTTCAATATTTTAAGCAAATTAATCACAAAGGTGATGAATGTCTAGAGACAACTTTCCAGGGAAAATTTTAGTTAGAACATTTACACACACAGACATACACAAAATACTACTTGTGCACAAATCTTAGTACAACACAGCATATAGGAGACCCTTAATACATACCTTTCGAAATGAACAAAATGCATTAGATAATTTGTCTAAGAAAGCGGCTAGAGAAGTCACCCTAGCAAAATTCTGGACATCACAAGCAATCCTGTTGCCAGCAGAGGCCTTAAGCACAGTGACTCAATCCCAGGACAGCACCATGAGGTTACAGGTGAGAAAACCCAGGTCCCTAGGGACTCAGTGACTTCTCCCTACCTACACAGGCAGGAAGAAGAGACTCCAGGACTCACACCCATACGATTTGGTGCACAGCCCACGCCCTAGCCTCCAGCCCAGGCTGCCTTTGTCTTCTACACAGGACCAGAGGGCAAGGAAGCCACATTCCCCAGCTCCCTCCGGTCCCCTGACCCACAGGTCAACCCCTTCCCCGAGTTGAGGGCTCCAAGCTCCTGGCTTCTGGCTTCCAACGGATACTATCTTCAGTACAGGGTTCAATGATTCCCCACTTAGGTACGCACCTGTGTGACCCTGGCCAGCTCAAACCTTGGGACACTCCCAACAGCCTTTTGCACCCCAACCCTGCCGGCGACTATCTCCCCAAAGGTGCAGCTCTTCTGACTTTTCTTACTACAGAGCCGCATTACCTTCTCTAGAATTTCAAAGAAATGAAATCCGATGGCATACCATCTTTTGTGTCTTGCTCTGTATTCTTCGAAGCACAAGTACATAATCAGAACCCGGAGGATTGTCAGAGAAAGGAGGGTGGGGCTGAGCGGTTCTTTCTCTGGCAAGCAGCCCCCCGGGGGGCTTTGATGTTAGCTCAGGAACCCATCCCAGGGGGCCGCGGGCACGGTCGGCACTGGACTGTAGAGCGGACCCTGGAAAATCAGTGACCGCAGGGAGGAAGGAGCTGGCTTGCCTGGAGCCCAGGGTCACTTCTGCGGGCCCGGCGCAGCGTCCTGAGCTCGGACGGGGTCCCTCGTGAGTCGCGCAGCTCCCTACCTGTGCATTGCTGGATGAAGTGCTGGTACTCCGAGCCCTGCTCGCCGGGGACGATGGTGGCGCCCTCGTATCTGAAAGTCACCCTTTGGGTTGAGAGAAGAAAAGACACACGTGAGCGCCGGGCGGCAGGGGCAGGCCCCGGAGAGGTGAGGGCGGCTGCGGCGGCGGCGGCGGGTCTGCTCACCAGATGACCGCCGAACCGTCGTCGCGCACCCGGTTGTACGCCTCGCGGCACGCCTCCTTATCAATCTTAGTGGCCATCGCCGGGGACTCTGCCCCGAGCGGCCGAGCGCGCCCCGGGCCGGCTGCAGGGACAGAGCGCGGCGGGGACGCGCGGAGGGCGGCGGCGACTGCGACGCGGGAACCGAGAGCTCGGAGCGCGGCCGCGGTTCTGACTGCCGGCGGGCGCGCGCCGGGACCCCAGGCTGCTGTCCACCCCGCCCCACTGCCCCCATTGGTCGTCCGCGCCGCGGTCCGCCCCGCCCCCCTTCGGCATTGGTCTGTACATCTCAGGGGCGTGGCGTAGTGACTCTCTAGTAGCCAATCCCTGCCACAGTGGGTTGCGCAAATCCTTAGAGGGAGCCGGAGTCCGGGTTTTCCCCGCCCTCCCTTCCCGCCCTCCTCACCCCTCCCCGCCTTGCACACCACACTCTTTGCTCTCCTTCCCTTCCTCTTCCTCCCCTCCCCCTCCTCTTCTCCCCCTTCCTTTTTCTCGCCCCCCCCACTCCCACCCCCTCCTGGATTCTCCTCCCTGGACTCCTTTTCCTACTCCCGACCCATCTCTTTCCCTCACCCAGAAACACTAATCTAACGTCCTGCTCCTCCTCTCTCTTGTGCCCTTCTCCTCTTACCCCTTCCTTTCCTCGCTTCTTCGTCCCGCAACCCTTCCCCTCCCTTTCTGCTCCTCTCCTCCCCCTTACTTCCTTTCCCTCCTTCCGCTGTCCCAGCTTATGGAAGCCCCCAGCCCCTTGGCCCTTCGCTGCCCCTTCCCCCGCGCAACATCGCCCCATCCTTATCTCCTCCACCCTGGCCCTGGCCGCTGAGCTCAGGGACTCCCAGTGGATGACCTAATGCAGTGGACCAAGGACACAGGCTGTCCACTGCCCCCACCCCAGCGTGGAGTTCTGTGAAGTGGACTTGTGCGTGCGTGTGTGTGTGTGTGTGTGTGTGTGTGTAAGGATGGAGCATTCTAAATAGGAGGGGGAGAAAGCGGACTGCTTCCAGGACGCTGGTGAGAGCCCTCTTTACTCTGGCCTAGGTTCTCCCCTCCCACCCCAGCGAAAGCTGACCAGCGGTCCTCCTTCCTCCCTGCCCTTCCTCCAGCCGCGACCCTGGGGCCTGGCTCACACACAAGGCTGTGACCTGGACGAGACTGCCCCTCGATGGGAAGGTGACAGAGCTGCTTGAAATGACACCGTGTAAACGCATAGACGAGACACCCAAGAAAGGCGGTTCTTAGTTGTTAAGTAATCAAAATAAATCCCGAGTGCAAACCCAAAGGGTCAAGTAGTATGTGTAATAAAGTGTAGAATTCTTGCCAAGCAAAAACCAAAAGGAGACGAATGAATCCATCCATGCAAGGGTGAATGGGTAGGTGGCTGGGCCATCACTACAGACAAGTAGGAGCTGGTGTCGCTGCAAATAAAATGACAAAACAAACTCCAGCTTGGAGCGGCTGTTGGGCTTCTTCCCACCCTGCTGTGTAAAGGTAAGGGGCAACCTGGCACAGAAAGGCACAGACGCTCCATTGCCCACACCGCTGGTCAGCCTGCATTTGGGAAAGGATCAAAGAAAGACCTGTGAATAAAGGAGCCCCCAAGAGTGTCAGAAGCGGACCGGGCAGCTCCAAGGGTGAGCCCAGAACAGCAAAGGTCTTTCCAACCAGAAGGCTTCCGAGATGGATATATTCAAATACGTATGAAACCAGCTTCAAGAAGAAAAATGACTACCACACACAAAGAGTGGGAAGAAAGGCGGCAGCCATGAGACATATTGGCTGTTCAGATCACAAAGAATCAGCATCGATGGCACAAGGAGAGGACAGCCGCACCAAAGAAAACCAGCGCAGATGTGACCGGGTGGATCTGACAGCTTGAGACCACGAGAAGATGCCCAGCCTCAGCCCGAGAAGGGAGATGCAAACACAGCAAGACTGGGAAGCCTCGAAAACAACATAGCAGGTCAGAGCAGATAAAAAAGCTGGACAGGTGTCCTTTGCAACTGGGTCTATGCGATTGGTGGTTAACCTGTGGCACGGGTACCACAGTGGACTATCTGTCATTGGCAGCTCTGAAAGGTTTGCCATAGCTGGACTACACAGCCCAGTCCCTCACCTTCCATATGGAGGCAATGGGCACATTTTCAAATCGTTATGGCCGCAACCAGGTCCCTAACTAGGCCCTGGGATGCCGGGTGCTCTGTCCCATGCTCCGGGATTCTAATGTAATTAAACCAAGGCGCATCCCATCGTTCACTAGTGTTTAGCACCCTGGTGCACCCTATGGTGTTTAGAGTCTCATGGGTGACTCTCCTTACAGCTAGGACTGAGAGCCATGGCTGTAGGTCTCCCTTCACACAAGCAAAATACACTCAAGGTCATTTGTCGCCTTTTTCTAGTAGCAGAAGGTTAGGAATAACCTGAGTGCCCATCAGGAGGGGACTGCATAAATGGAGTGATATCGAACCCCACGGAGCCTTGTGCCCATGCTCAAAGCAGAAAGATAAGGACCCTTTCTAAGTGACGCTGCCTTGCCTGCCTCTATGTCTTGAAGTGATATGAAACATTTCCCCTTCCTGATCCTTTTGGCTTTGGGGAAAAGCCCTAATTTGCACCGTACCAGATCTAGGGAAAAGGAGGCAGCAGGGCAGTGCGTGCTTATGAGCCTGCCTTTCTGTTGGATGGTGCTCACTGCATTTTAAAAGTTTTATTTATTATTAGGGGCTGGAGATACAGCTCAGTGGCATAAGTGCCTGCCTGGCAAGTGCAAGGGCCTGAGTTCAATCCCCAGTACAAAAAAAGAAAAGAAAAAAGTTTTAATTATTATTATCATTATTATTGTTATTATTGTCTTTTTGAGACAGGGTTTCCCTATGCAGTTCAGGCTGACCTTCGACTCACTTTGTAGTTCAGGTTGGCCTCAACTCACGGCATCCTCCTGCCTGAGCCTCTGGAATGCTGGGGTACATGCACGTGGCACCCCACCCTATCTCACTCCTTGTAGGGACATGAAGGAGGACTTTTAGAGCCATTTCAGAAAGTGGCCAGAAGATTGGGGTGTTCCAAGGAGGGGAAGGATATTGAGGGGCATCAATGCACTATGCCTTTTACTACAATTTTTAATTTAAACGTTCACAAGGGCTGGGGAGCTAGCTCAGCGACTTAGGTGGCAAGTGCAAGGTTCTGCGTTCAATCCCCAGTACCAAATAAAGTAAAATGAACACCCACAGCATTTTTCTACCACCCCTTGCATGCAAGTGTGGAAAATTCTATAAAATACCGTGAATTTTATAAAATACCGTGAAGCTTGCACAACATAGTGTTTAGCGCCACGCTGCGGTGGGGCAGGGCAGTCCGGTGCGGAGACACTGTGCGTGTGATATTCCTGCTGAGACCTGGGAGGGAGGGAGGGAGGGAGGGAGGAAAGAAAAGAGGGAGGGAGGGAGGGAGGGAATAAATGAGGGGAGCATAGGAAAGCCGAAGACCCGCTCCCACCCACCCTAACAGTGCTCTTTCTCTTCATTGTTGTGGGCGCCCTCTGCCGGACAAAGAAAAGTTTTGTTTTGTTTTTTTGGCAGAACTGGGGACTGAGCTCAGGCCCTAATGTGCTTGCAGGAGAAGCGCTTATTCCACTGAGCCATCTTCCTGGCCCCAAAACTTTGGTTTTAAAAGAGATTTCTACTGTCAATTCGCCCAGTTAAGTCAGGGGGAAAAAATCACGCCCAAAATACTGCGTGTAAAGAGCCACACTTTATAAGAAGCAATCCAACTAACTTCATCTTTCTTTAGAAGAAACATGAAAACATTTGAAACTTACGCAGACTGCGCACGGTGTTAAGAACTGGAGCAGTGACGCGTCTGTGACAGCTGGAGGCTGAGGCAGGAGGATTGCAAGTTGGAGGCCAGTCTGCGCAGCCTAGTGAGAGCTGGCGTCAGATCTGCCCCATTTCCCATGCGCGAGTATAAGCAACTTTATTCTTAAACTTTGGCAATGAAAATATTCCACATGAGTGTTGGCTGTGTGTGACCGTGCACTGGACAAAGGTACCCCAGCTCTATGGGGCTACAGTCCAGCGAGGAAAAAGCACTTGCTTCAGGGTGAATACCGTGACTTGTCAGCAAAGTAGAATTCTAAGGGCTGACCTGTAGAGAGAAGGCAAAGCCCAGCCGCTGAAGGCTCTAAATCAAGGAGGGATTCAGGTGTTTATCAAGGTGTAGCCTGGCCCGCTCTGCACCTGGTGTTTCCCTCTGGGGGTGGGGAGGGGTGGGGAGGGGGTCGGGGGGAGGGGGTCGGGGCAGAGGTGCTAGTTTTGTCTTCCAGCAGTTGTACCCTTCCACCTGGCATGCCTAACCCCACAGACAGAGCAGGTTTCTCATTCAGACTTCAAATGCGAATTATATATGGGCCGGGGAGATGGCTCAGTAGAATAAGCACTTGCCTGGCAAGCACAAGGTCCTGAGTTCAATCCCCTGTGCTGCGAATATATACATATAAAGTATATAGTCTTCCTATGCAGCTTAGACTTGTGATCCTCCTGTCTCAGCCTCCCCAGTGCTGGGATTACAGGCATGCGGGCACCACCACACCTGGGGTCGGGGCTGGCACTATGTGTCTGGGGCTCCAGAGCTGGCCTGGCATGAGGTACCAGGGATCGAACTCAGGGGCCTGCACTTGCCAGGCACGTGCTTAGACCGCCGAGCTATCTCCCCAGCCTGGTCACTTGATTTTGATATGGACACAGAGACTATTCAAAAGACAAGACGCTCTTTTCGACCAATGGCCACAGGGCCGACAACAGCGCACAGGGAAGAATGACACCGGTCCCCACCCCATGCTGTGCATGAAATTAACTCCACATGGGTCACAGATGTAGATGGAAGAGCCACAGTTAGATGAAACGCCTTTGGCTCAGCAATGATTTAGATGTGACACAAAAAAGCAGAACCAGCTGGCCAGGGAGATAGCTCAGCGGTACAGCCCCTGCCTGGCAAGCACAAGGTCCTAAGTTTGGTTCCTGACACCAATAAATAAACAAAAAGCAGAACCAATGAAAACATGAGATGAATTGAGTTTCATCGAAAGTTAAAATTTTGTGATTCAAAGAACATCAACAAGAAAGTGAAAAGATAATGCCCAAGCTAGGAAAGGGTGGGCCTATCAC